AGAGAGAGAGAGAGAGAGAGAGAGAGAGAGAGAGAGAGAGAGAGAGAGAGAAAACTGAAAAGGGGTAGCAACCATCGCACGGTTATAGGACAACCAGGACAACCATATAATATATGGTTGGGCCACGCTACTATCATGGTTTGTCAAGAACAGCCGAGGTGTATCAACCGAAATTACGGTTTTTCCATCCTCAGGTCGTTGTCTAAACCATATTTTATAGTTATATCTGAAGAAAACATACGATGGCTGTTACAATTTTTCACTTTCGTGGGTGCACAGCATGCGCCGGGCGACTGTAGTCGGGCGAGCACGAGGGCGAGCACCGTCAGCTATTACCTCACGCACACACACACACACACGCAGATGTGACGGCGAAACATCATTAAGTCGGTTTATAATTCAATTTCTCGCATTGTCATCGCATGGTCCAGCCCCCCTTGTCCGCTCGTGTGTCGGCAGGACAGAGCGGGGGCAGGGGGTGGAGCAGGCTGTTGAGGGGGGCGGGCGTTGGCACACGCCCGAGAGAACGGGGTCATAAGACAGGTTAATACCGACTGATACACATCGGCACGCATGCCTGCGTAGACTGGTGGTGGCTGCTGGAACCCCGCCCCACCCTCCTCCTCTCCCCAGTCCGCCCCAGCTTCCCTGCCGTTTCCCTGCCGCCGGTGCCGCACGGTATCAGCATATCAGTACGGGAACGCCACGGGTACTACCCCCCCCCCTTTGTGCTTTTGCCCAAACACGGCCGGCCTACGCCGTTCTCAGCACTGGTGGACACACGTTGGCATCGTCAACAAGTGTTACTCTGGACTATGCCTAATTTAGTGATGTTTCATTTTGTAACTGTATCTCTGTGCTGCACATTCATATCTTGCGAAAATTCAAAGTACTTATGCACAATTTGTACCACCGTTTCTCAAAGTGCCAAGCTTTTTCTGACTTTCTGACTTATTTTACTTAACTTTACTTCTCTTTACTTTGCTTTACTTGCTTTACTTTGCTTTACTTTACTTAACTTTACTTTACTATGAACGTTCCAGCGTCATGCAAACTGCCGTATAAAATAGAAATGGCCTAGCGGGGAAACAGCCAGCAAACTGCGGAACAAACTCATTGTTTTCGTTTTTTTGTCCTTAGTGGAAAGTTGTTTTGTGCGTTCCGGCCGTATTCGTCGGTGAGCTAATCACAAAACGCGTGTGGTGCCGGCTAACGGTCCCGCCCACACTGTGAAAAATATCCTCGTAAATTTACGACATTTGTTGTAATTTTGATTTACAACATGAGTCGTAAATTTACAACATCCTATTCATGCTCGTCGGTCAATTCTAAGTCGATAGGGAGTGCTTAAAAATTTACTTTTTCAATTTACAATTTAAATTGTAATTTTACGACTTTCACCATGGAAAATTTTCCTGTAACCCTTACGACTATTTTTCACAGTGCAGGCGTGTGCTGTAGCCCGTTAACTAAGCTGTCATTGTGTTGATAGTTTGGCGCACAGCATATCACCTGCCGGCACGAGCACCCCTCCCCCCTCCCCTTCCCTCACTCACACACACACGCACGAATGCACGCACAAATATGCGTACAGACTGCTACACGCTGCCGGTGTCGGGACTAATGAATGAAAACTTAATGAATAGCTTGGTTCGCGAGTGTGAGTGTGCGTCGTCTGGCTCAGGTGTGTGTGTGTGTGTGTGTGTGTGTGTGTGTGTGTGTGTGTGTGTGTGTGTGTGTGTGTGTGTGTGTGTGTGTGTGTGTGTGTGTG